TAATAAATTGCAAGCGCTCGTCGAACAATAACCGCTTTACCGCCTACTATCCTGCCAAGGTGCTCTCGGAGTGCCCGCCCGCATTGATCTCATCAATCCGCAGTAAAGGTGAGGCCTGCTTTCGCCGCCAGGCGGTGGAGACACTCACCCACGGCTATGGGGAGAGTACCTCCCTCGGGCTTTGGGAACGCTAGGAACCTGCTCGCCGTATTAGCACTGCAATTTCGAAAGTGGAATCTCCCTTCATGAAATGAAGGACCAGCTCGTTTAGTATGCTGGCGATTGAGCCGTTGGCAAGGGCAGCATCGCGAAAGTGTTCGGAACACATTCCCGAAGGGCCCGTCTAAACTCCATTCTCGCTGCGTCTGAGTAGCCATGTGAATTCCGCGAGCAAAATTGTGGGGGTGGGATCTGATGTGGGGCCACGACCGACCCGGTTAGCACGGCTGGATGTTTGGATTTCAATGCCACGAGGACCTCAGGTGTTGAAACAGTGATCGGCGTGGAATCCAGGGCCAGCAGAGCACGCCTCAAACTGCTATGGCGGACCAGCCCCTTGGTTACGGATATTTTGCAGAGGGCAACAGCTGCATAATGTGGCGGTGGTGGGGTGCTAACAGCATCGACATCTCCTGCCCTCTGCTAACAGCATCGACGGCTGGCCATTTGCGTGCCAGGAACTGTTGCAGCCGCTTCTCAACTGCTGCCAAATCAGGGTGTCTCGGCAAATTCAGGCAAAGTGTAAGACGGGGTGTAAACAGTAATAGGCGCCAGCCAGTGAGGCTGGTCGGATGGCTGGAGATGTGGAGAAGTGGTGTCTAGAGGGCCCGACTGAAGAGCTGGTGACGTTTTGGGGGGATTACGCAGGAAATCGGGGGCTGGCGACTGTCGCAAAGCACCCCAATGTCCCAGCTGGCAACCCCAGCGAACAACGATTCGTTTGGTGTGCTCCTCCAGCGAGAATCGACGCTAGGGTTGGCTTGGCTATGCTGCGCTGGCGCGAGGATCACGCATGTTTCAAGAGCTTCCAGCCCGAGGGTTGGGAACATTTTTGTGCACGTCTCCGGCCTCGTCTCTTCTCTGCCTCTGCTCCCTCTTCCCTTTCAGAATCCTCCGTGGTGGACTCCCATCTTGCCTCCGACCTATGAGTAGCGTCCTGCCTCTATTCCTCATCCTTGACTGTTCCCTTGCATCAGCCCTTTAAGCCTGCCCCACAGCCCTCTGGAAGCCATTGACCGGGCCTCCACCAGCCATCAGCTCCTGTGAACGGCTGCGTTCCCGTCCTCGTCCGCGCCTGGTCCAGCTCGTCCCCATGACCCCTCGGGCGGTAGGTTACGGCTGCGAATAGAGAAACCTGAGGTCCATCCTCGTTGGCGGTCGATAACCTCGTCCCGTCACCGGTGATCATAATGGAGTCACCGTGCATTCCTTGCAGCGCTCACCGGGAGTGTTCCACGAACGTGCAGCACAGCATGCTTGGGGTGCAGCCCGTATGGATCACCTATTCATTCCCGAGACTACCACCCCGAACTTGTGCGGTAGAAAAAAGGCCCAGGTAAGTTGGCTAAGTTGGGTGAGAGCTGCTTTAGCCATGACGCGCATGAAGCATTTCTCGATTGCAATTGGTCAGACTCCCGCTTCTGGTTCACGAAGTGCGATCAGATTGGAGGGGAGGACTTGGGTTCGAATAGCCTCGGGCCATGTGCTACCCAGTCCGTGATTTATGCACTTGAGTAGGAGCTGGAAATTTTGTAAATGGGCGAGCGCAGGATCACGGATGTGTTTCAATCACGTGCCAGATAGGCCCGCTCTGACTCCACGTGGGCAGCTGCATAGAGGCTACATATTTCCCATCCCTGGCAACGTAGGTGAGGTCCGGGCGACAGGTTACGGCTGCAAACAGAGACACCCGAGCTATTGCTGGTAAAGTTGATGTTCTGCTGGGGTCAAGAGGGTAGTGTTGGGCTCTTACCTAGGATGGAGGTGGCGAAAGGACGTTGTCACTCCGATAGAGGCGATGCCAAACTTTTTGGCGAGGGCCTCCGCATAACTGCTCGCTGTGAGGTAATCGACGTCGGGGCCGAGAGCAATGTTTAGCCCCAGAAACTGGGGTACGTGCAGGGTAATACAGTACTAACCTTGAGGAGCCCACTGATGCGATGTCCATGCATGAGATGATGTCGTTGCCGGAGCCCGTGTACAACAGATCGTCCACGTAAGCAACTAGGAGGATATAGTCGCCACAGAATCCGTGGCGATACATCCCTTGGTTTTGGGGCAGCCACGAATATTCCGAAGTCACTAGAGTTTTATGCAGGTGCTGCTGCCATAGGCAGGGAGCTTGCTTAATACCATAAAGGGATTTTTGCAACTGGCAGGTTTGCCCCCTCTCTCCATAAGTGTGGGGCAGCTCGACAAAAATTCTGCATCGACGTATAAAAATGTGTTTTTAATGTCCAATTGGCGCAAGCGCAGATGACAGCATGCAACGATCGCTAGGAGAATGCTGACAAATGTGTGACGGCTAACGAGGGCAAATGTCTGGTCATAATCCAAACGGTATGTTTGTTCCAATCCACGAACCACCCAATGCCCCTTGTAACGAACTGGCTTGCGATCGGCGTCGGTTTTAATGCGAAAACGCATTTGCTCGTGGATATGCTTTTTCCTTGACCGGCAGACTTTGGGATGATTTTTCCAAATTTTCCACTGCTCGATGGCATCAACGTCGGCATCCATAGCAGCACGCCACTTGGATGCATCGGGGCCGATCAGAGCTTGGCAAGCAGTCTTCGGCTCAAAGGCGGCCGCTGAAGATTGAATGTCGACAGCGAGGCCAAGAATCTAGAGGGCAGATTGTGTAGCACGTGGATGCGCATGACTTTGCACTTCGATGATGTCATCATCCGTGATTCTCGTAGCGATAGCCAGATTTGATTGTTGCATTCCGATAACGTGGATGAGACAGCGGGATGAAGAGATGCGTGGGTTCCTGGCCAATAATCCTTTGGCGTATGTGGCCCGAACAGTGGTGGTTTGCATCGTTGAGTTTCGGAAGGGCCGGGTTCTATGTGACAAGGCTCAAAAGGGCCAACAGTAGACGGAGGCGGTACAGGGTGTGCATTGGCAAGAGGATTATATTCCTCTACAGATTTTGCTCCATCTTGTAAGGTGGCGAATCTCCTTTCACCACTGTAGCGTGTAGGTTCGCAGGCATCGACTTCCCTGTCCCTTTCAAAGTTGTCCAAGAACAACTTCCCGTAAAAGTTGCAGTCCTAGGCGTAAGCTTCTCAGGGTATGGCGAGATGAATGGTTTATTGTGCCCTGCCATAAAATCTTCCCGCTTCTGCACTTGGATGTCAGAACTGTACTAAATAACCTTACACTCGAAGAATTATTATGTCGGCGGGTTTTCGTGTCCACATCAGACGCGGAAAGAAGGACATTGGGAGGGCAGTGGATGACAGTTGGTTGTTCGGTATGACAACTTGCACCATCGCATAAGGCCAAAAATCAGTTGGCAGGCGTGCTTGGGCGAGGAGGACCCTCATCTTCGTCTGCAGGGTCCTTTTCATCCTCTCCACTACTCCATTCTGTTGGTGAACATAAGGGACTGTCTTGCGCTTGAGGATCCCTTTTCGCCCCAAATATTATTCTAAGGCACCACTCTCGTACTCCCAAGCATTTTGTGCCTGTAATTTCTTCAACTTAAGTCCACTCAGTCTCTCCACCATGCATACTCATATCCTAAGGGCATCAAAGACTTCGCTCTTGTGGGCGAGGTTTATGTGCCACACGTAGTACGTAGCTCCGTCGACAACGGTTATGATGTAGCGGTAGTCATCACCGCATATATCACTTGCTTCTTTGCTCATGAAGGGGATATCGCTGAAGGCGACATTGAGCTTCTTGTACTGCTGTGCACTGAGGAAGTTCAACGGGAACCGACTGTGAGGGAGACGGGTAATGGGGCAGACACTGCAGCCATTCTTGATGGAGCTATTGCCCGTTCCGTAGGAGAAATTCATATTTGTTAAACAAGCTTGCTTTAATTGAGTTGTTTAAAGCTTCAACTGGCAGGTAATCGAGCCGTTAATGCTAGATTTCTACTGACGCCCTATGTCCTTTTGAGCGCAGGTACAAGCCAGAGTTGACGAAGAAAGCGTGCGAGGCGAGATGTTGAGGAACAGGATTGGCGTCGCCGGCAGCTGGCGAGTGGCAGCATGGGGGAGTGAAGCCAGCTTCTTTGGCGGAATTGACCCATGAAAATCTATCGACTCGATGGCGAGCAGCAGCATGGGGGACAATTCAGCAAACAAATCCCTAGTTGATTTTAACTTTGACGGCATAGTTGATGCGAGCTGCGATGTACTTGTAGTCATCCGACGGATCCCACGCACGAGCATCGCCCCATGCTCTAGTGGCCGATGGCCACACTCCTTCTGTTGCTGCACTTGTTCCCCCTTTTGCTGCTGCTCCCCATCCCCCTTCTGCTGTTGCTCCCCATCCTTGTGCAGGTTCAAGAGCTGATTGAGAGACTTCTGGTTCGAGTGCGGGCGAGGACGAGCGGGACGGTTGAGGTGTCACATGAAAGGCGGTGAAGCCACAGTGGCCAAGCGTTTCGAGGTTGGTCTTGTCGCGATGGTGCCACTGGGTGAGAGCGACGGCGTGCTGACTGTCACCACAAGAAGACTTCAGGGAGAAGCGAAGAACCGAGATGTCATCTTGGATCTCGAGAAGTCCAATGAAGTTGCTCTCATCGACTTTCTTGGCTCCCATGTATGGTCTAGTAACCATGCGGCCAGCGTCACTGATACAGTGAATGCCGTCTTCCATCAACTACCCCTGAGAGAGGAGGTTGAAGTCGAGGTCGTCGACAACGAGTACCTTGATTAAGTGTAAGGAAATGTCTGTATCGCTGGACTCGAGTAGGGCGTTGCCAAGTGCCATTGCTATTAATTCTTGGTTGTTTGCCACTGTGATCGTATACCTGTCACGTTCTGAGCTTTCCAATGAAGAAGGTATCGTGAAGACGACGTCATGTGGTGCCCGTAGTAGCTGCCGAGGAACCACGTATTGACATCGTGGGGATAATTCCGCTTCGTGTTGTGGGCGTACAGCTGCACGTTGAGAGTGCGCAAAATGGCTTGGCATTCAACTTCGGCTTCCTCTTCATCGATTTTGATCGGCTCTGGTGGCGTCTCTGGTCGCGGGCACGGGCGCTCGGTTAGATACGCCAGTGGCTCATGTGACCCTCGATCACCTTCAGGGTCACTTACTTCACCATGAATTGCCCATTATTGTATGCTGGCAGTCCAATGTGTGCCGACCATGAACGATCGGTCATGTGTGATGTGCAGGTCATGACGAGAAAGATGCAATAGCTGGTGGTTAGATAGTGTGCCGTGGCACCTAGACAACACCTTACGGGCGTCTCAGCTGAGCTTCTGCTCGACAACAGTCTTTCAGCTTTTTGCATTCATCAATGAAGTTGATGGGTTTGTTGCATAACTTGCAGAAGGGCTGTTTTTCGATTCTCCCCTTGTCTAACTCCGTCATTCTTTTGTCCAGTGTGAAAACTGTATTTCTTTGCATCTGTCTTGTTGCCTGTGTTGTACAGATCCATGTCTTGCTGTTTGGCAATGGATGTCCCGTGAAGCGCGCTCTCCGTGATATTCCCCTTGTGTGCGCTGGAAGGCCTTGCACATGTGCCAGTCGGGGCCGAGGCTAGCAAGGAGTACGGTGACAAATAGCTCGCTAGGGAAACTCCCACCGCTCCTGAGGTACTGGTCCGCAAGTTGCCGAAGCGATTGGCATAGCTTCTGGTCTTCTTGTTGGAGCATCTGAACCAAGTTTAGTTGGTGTAGAAGATTGCTTCGTGTCACACTATCTTGTGCCGGGTATACCTTGGAGAGGCTGTCGCAGGCATAGTACGCGGGGGCGAGCATGCTCGTGAAGGGTCGCACACGGTTATGCTCTAACGAGGAGAGGTCCCCCATCAGTAGTGTGTAAGCCATTAGCAAGAGTCGAGAATGATGCCCTTTTTCCTTTTCTGCTCGTATTTCATGATATTTGATGGAGCTATGGAAGTAGCCTCAGACTGCACTGGTAGCTCAAATTCAAAGGACCACGTACAGGAAGTCTGTTGAAGGCACTCGAAGTCTGCAGCTTCGAAATAGTGAGGAAGTCTGCTTGGTTTATGACTACAGTGGAGGGTTGTTGTTGACTTGCTGTTGGTGTTGTTGTTGTTGCTGCTGTCCGAGTGCACGGCCGCCATGGAAGGTGAAGGAGCTCGCGGACCCTTGTTTGGGCGTTGGAGGCATAGCAGCTGCAGCACGTGTGTAGTTTGAGCTGTCGATGCACATAGTGTTACCATTAGGAATAGGATGAGGTACTCCTCAGTTGTCTCCTTGCTCGTGTTGTCTTCCCATTCCCATTACTGTAGTGAAGTCAGCTGTAATCTCCTCCTGTCCAAAAATATGCGAAGTAGTGGGATGGCCGAAAGGCCCTTTGCCCGACATGGAGTAAATATTTGTTTGATTCATTGCTGAATTGATGATGCTTATAGCTGAATGCAACTGAGGAGCCCAAGGCGAGAGTTGTGGGTTCCAGGGAAAACCACTCGCTCAAAATACCATGTAGAAGTAATATCCCCGTATTGAGATTAACCAAACAAGTAGGATTCTGTGAAACCCAGGAGAGTTTGAGTCAGCGGAAGACTTAGAGATCCTAAAACTATGAGAACATTTTATTAGTGCAACATGTATAAATACTACGAGGGTTTATTATGAAGTAACCTATTTAAGAAACCTCTGACGAAACCTCTTCTTGTAGCCTCATGTCGCAACTTCTCATTGCAACCTCTCGCTGCACTTCAAACGTTGACTCGGGTGGTTGTTGTCACCCGCTCACGTCCTCTATATGAGGTAACGCAGCATAGTAGATCTGCGTGTCAGGCCCAAAGATTGGTTTAAGGAGGGCTGATGACTCTGGGTCGCCCTTGTGACTGCCCATAGTTTTCATGGTCGGGGTCTGGCTGTTGTCACGCCTACAAACTTTGAAGTCAGACGAGTCAGGCCTACGCTTTGAGCAATCCTGTTTTGGGTTGTGTTTGTCCTGTTGTTGAAGACGAGCAGGCAACCACGTTTCTAATATTCATGGGCAATGATCCTTTTGCCGCTGCTTTTACATGGCTCTTATACATGGGCACCACATTCTCAACTTCGCTGCTGCTGCAGTTGCCACAGGTCAGAGTTCCTCCCTCTTCAAGTGCTGCTGCTCCTCACTCATCTTTGTCGTATTTTACTAAACTTAGTCAAGGACCAATCACGCCAGAGACCCATGTTCCAGGAAAGCTTCAGTGCTGCAGGTAAATTCGGCTAAGGACCACCCGAAACTCTCCTCTCACATACTCTATCGCAACTCCATTTTGACAAGTGATTTTGGTCGACCAATCACGCCCCTCACGCATGCTCCAGCATGCAGAGTTCGGTTCGGATTCTGACCCCATTCCAGGCGTAATAACCACCGTGGGGCGGGGAAGGGGGAGGGGTGAGGGGAGGGATTCTGTTTCAAGAAGAAGATTCATTAAGGCTGATTGATCAGGATACACGAGATAAGGGCGTGTTCCTACGTGACACGATGTCAGGCTACATCGTGTCATTTTGGGATTTTGGCCGTCAAATTCGCCTGTAAACACAAATTTGACACGAAGCAGCCTGACCTTGTCACGTAGGAACAGGCCCTAAAATGAGAACCCCTTAAAATTAGGACAAGGGAAAATCAAAACCTGAAAAAACATGTGACCCCTGGAAAACACCCTGATATACAGCCTTTCAGACCTTTTTGGCCTGACTTCTGTGGGCCTGGTGCGCGTACTATGTAAGAGTTAGTGCGCTACTTACTGTAGGAAGGGTGGGTCGGTGCCGCCTGTCACGAGAGCTAGGTAGCTGGCGTGAGGGTTTAGCTAGGAAAAAGTTACGAGAGAAATAGAGAGAGAGAGAGAGAGAGAGAGAGAGAGAGAGAGAGAGAGAGAGAGAGAGAGAGAGAGAGAGAGAGAGAGAGAGAGAGAGAGAGAGAGAGAGAGAGAGAGAGAGAGAGAGAGAGAGAGACTAGAAGAGAGGGATACAAGGAGGGGGTTGTACCCTCTACAGTAGGTTTCAGTAACACCTACCAAGCCTACCAATAATATATCAAAGATATAATTTAACACACCCTCTAGGCTTGGTAGCCGAAAGCACACCACACACACCCCCTAAATCTAGCACGCCCTACTCAGTAGCAGCAACGGCTACACCAGCCCGGTCAAACCCCTCAACTCGGGAGGCGCGACGTCGACAGCGAGGGCTGCGGCGGCGACGGCGGCAGCGGCGGCAGCGTCGACAGCAGCGGCGGCGGCGGCGTGCGGCGGCGTGGCCCCAACGCAAGCGGCAACAGCGGCGGCGGCTTCGACAACAGCGGCGGCGGGGCCGGTCTCCGCGACGGTGGGATGGCCAGCGGGAGGCAGCCATTGGCTGCGGCGAGGAAGAGGGGAAGCAGGGGAAAGGGGGGGGGGGGGGGCGGCGGTGTGGTCCCGCATCACGCACGTGGCTGGCGTGTGGGCGTCAGGACTGGCGGCGCCTCAGACGTTGCGCAGCCGGCTGGCGCCCGACGACGCCGCCACTGCAGCATTACGACGCCGCCACAGCGTGGCGTCGATGCCGCGGCGGCACGTCGGAGCTGCGACGGAACTACGACGCCGTCGCCGCGGTGTGGCGTCGACGCCACGCGTCGGGGCTGCGACGGCAGCACCACGGCGCCGTCACTGCAGCGCGGCATGGCCGCAGCGGCGGCACGAAAGTAGCGAAAATGACGACGACGGAAGTACGAGTACGCGGCGGAAGCGTGGGGAGCAGGCCCGGGAAGGGCAAGCTGCTCTGTTACCATGTCACGAGAGCTAGGTAGCTATGAAGCCATGAAATGGCGTGAGGGTTTAGCTAGGAGAAAGTTACGAGAGAAAAAGAGAGACACTAAAAAAGAGGGGGTTGTACCCTCTACAGTAGGTTTCAGGAACACCTACCAAGCCTACCAATAATATACCAAAGATATAATTTAACACCGCCATGGTGGTGTCTTATAGACGCGAATGCTGAATACAAGATAGATGCCTTATAGAGGATCTTAGATCTTCTACTACAAGGGAGTCTTGTATCCAGGCTTTTACGGTACCATTCATGTGAGAAGTTGGTGTAGATTAAGAGCCTCTGCATGAAAGCCCACCCAATAAAATTCATCGTTTTGATACACTTATGTTTGACGCCTAACAAACTTTGGCTTGTCAATATGGTCCGGCATGGACCGAGAAATTAATATCAAAACGAGCTGAAGAGCTGCCTGAGCAAAGAAGAAGAAATGGTAGTCGAAAGGAAAGAACCCTTTACCGCTGATACTCCATGCAAACACGGATGCACCAGCAGCAGGTGCCATGGCCCTGAAAAAGAGGTTGATGCTCTGTGTGATGCCCGTGACAGCACCAAGCATGGACGGGTCTGTGATGCTGTTGTTGATGAAGATGAAGCCTGATGTGAACACACACTGCGCAAAACTGCACCCATTCGGACACACACACACACACACACACACACACACACACACACACACACACACACACACACACAACACATACATGAAGTACACAACACATACTAATCACAGCACAGGTACGCATCACACGTTCAAAAGTCAATGTATCCTGTATAAATGCATACCTCCGCATGGCCAGGGAGAGGCAAGCAGCAATGGCGGTGGCTTGACTGCCATGGCCGAACGCGCGGATGAAGGGAAGCCATGTGACTATAACGAAGCCAACTGACAGCGACACCTGATTGGGTGAAGTCACATGGCAAATGATGGGCAGGAGAAGACATAGCAGCAAGATAGTCCACATAAGAATCCGCCCGGGAGAGACCCAACCTGAAATGGCGTCGGCATAACGTTCGGGGGAAACTTCCAAACCAGACCACTCACACGAACAAACCAACAAAGCCGTAGGGATCACCAGAGCTGCAATATCAATCCCGAGCATTAACCACCTGAGCTACAGTATTAACCACCCGAGCTACAGTATTAACCACCTGAGGTACAGTAGTGCTCACCTGGACGGCCCCACGAGCACCCACTCTGTTGACAAGCGGAGCATACACGTATAACTGGAAAATAACCTGACAGAGGATTGAGGGATGAAGGGCATATGAGAGGGAGGGGTTGCGAGAGAGGTGGACACGAGAATGAAGGGGAGCGCAACATGATCCCTTGCTTGGCAGTACTCGATATGTGCTGAGATTGTAAGTGATGCATGTTTTGGAATTGTCCATGGCAAGTCTAGTGAATGAAGTTATAGTGTGCTGAGAGTGTACGATTTGCACAAGAAATCTCTTCAAATCTGTAGCAATTCAGGAACCTACAGAGCATATTCCCGCGCAGGTTTGGGCCATGGCTACTTGGTTCGTGCCGAAGCTGAGCCCTCCGAACCTCCAATCAGTTAGGCTCCAGAGAGGAAAGACCTGGAAGAGGAAAGGACGTGGAAAAAGAGACTCAATGATAATGCACATTTCTGCACCCGTTATAACCATCCCAACGTTGCAAATGCTGTTTCTTGATTCACTTTGATACCTTACAATCTGCACCTCCCCTCATTTTAAGCATGCAGCTTCCCTCACACGACCACACGGGTTGCACCCTGCTCATAACCCCATGCCGCTGGCGCTGCAGCTTACCTCGTTGAATGCGGTGGTAGCGAAGCTGAGCAGCGCCAGGAAGAGAAAGGCCTTCACTGGGAGGGATGATGATGGTGATGGTGATGGTGATGGTGATGGTGATGGTGATGGTGATGGTGATGGTGATGGTGATGGTGATGATGATGATGATGATGATAGTGATAGTGATGGTGATGGTGATGGTAATGGTGATGGTGATGGTGATGGTGGTGGTGATGGTGATGGTGATGGTGATGGTGATGGTGATGGTGATGGTGATGGTGATGGTGATGGTGATGGTGATGGTGATGGTGATGGTGATGGTGATGGTGATGGTGATGATAGGGAGTGGAACAAAGATGAGAGGGGAAAGGGGGGTTAGGGAGGCAGTTATAAAAGCTGAGCATGGCAAGGCAGTTATCCCCCCCATTTCAGTAAAGGTCTTCACAGGGAGGATGCCGATGAGAGGGGGGTTTTGGATGAACACAACGAAACAAGGATCATGATGCGGAAAATCTAGAAAACGATGGTGGGAGCGGTGAGCGCTGTGCATACAAGAGTGGTACCTGTGGCGCTGTCAAACAGTGCCTGCGCCAGCTGCTGCCCACAGAGAGGTGAGAAGAGGCCCACAGGGGAGAGAGACGGGTGGGGCAGGCAGGAGGGCAGGCAGCAACAAGACAGCTGTGGCAGGCAGGAGCAGAACCAAGAGGAGCCCCCGCAGAAGGCGCCAACACCTCCATCACTGTAACGCCTTCCTGCATGTCGTTCGTCTTCTTCCCCCCCTGCAGAGAGTAACGGCTCTCTCAGGTGTTGTCCGTTCAGGTGGTCCTTCAGGTGGTCCTTCAGGTGGTTCAGGTCCCCCCTGGCTCTGCTGCCATCCCTATAGTCGGCCCGGTCTTTATCATACTCTCCCCACCCTTCTCCTACTCCTCCTCCTCCACATCCTCCTCCCCGCCCCGCTCCCCCTTTCCCTTCACCCTCACACGCTTGTCCCACCGTACCTTCTCCCATGCTCGCAACTCCACTCCCCTCAACCCCCCTCCCTCTCGCTCCTCCCCCTTGGCCCCCGGCTGCATGCGCTCCCCCTCTCACGTCTCCACTCCCTGCTCGCCTCTCACTCCCTTGCTGCCCTCCCTGCCCCTGCGCCACTTCATCACCCCCCCTGCACTCACACCGTTTGCCTTCTCTCCCTCCTTCCCCTCTCTCCCACTCCTCCTCCTCCTCCCCTTCGTCTCTCTCCTCTGCTATTGACTGCAACAGAGGCTGGCTCAGGCTCGACCTTCGGCTTCCACTGTCACTGCCACTGCTCCTGCTGCTGCTGCTGCTGCTGCCGCAGCTGCCACTGTCAACTGAGGCCACTGTGACTCTAATGACGGTCGTCTCTCTGCGGCCACCACTTTCTGCTTCAACACTCCTCATCGCTCCGCCCTCGTTACTACCACATTCCTCGATATCACAATGCTTATGACCATGCAGATCACTATCTCTGTCCACCACAGGGTGCGCCCACCCCTTGGTCTCCCACAGCAGGGCAGCGGTGGCATCACTGCCACTGTTGCTGCCATCATTGAAGCCCCCACTATTGCTATCGGATTGAAGGTCATCGTCGATGTTGACCACAGGGCGCGCCCACCCCTTGGTCTCTGGCAGCAGGGCAGCGGTGGCGAGGAGGCCGAGCAGGGAGAGCAGGGCGAGCAGCAGGCAGGGCAGGAGGAAGGGGAAGCGCCCGAAGAGAGAGCGAGGCGGGAACAGCCAGGGGTACTTCACTGCTGGCTCGCAGAGGAATCCGCCCAGCGCTGGACCTGTGGGGGATAGAATAGGATGGAGGAGAATGGGTGGATGCATGGACACGAATGGGCATGTGCACCGGAATTGATCAAGGACGACGTCAGCAACAGCCAGGGGTACTTGAGTGCTGGCTCGCACAGAAAGCCACCCAGCGCTGGACCTGTGGCGAGGGTGAGGTGGGGGGAGAGTGGGCGAAAGAACGAACGTAAAGGAATACGGATCAATACACCAGCGCTTGAGTCAAGCAACAGGAAGGAAGAAAGGACGAAGCAGGGGTGCTTCAAGAGCCGCACAGAAAGACACCAACCCCGTGCTGCAAGTGTGGGTGGGGGAGTGAGGGGGTGGAGGACGGCCAGGGGTTATGGAGAGGAAGAGAGCCAAGGCGTGTGGGAAAGAGAGGAGAACGAAGAGAATTGGAAGTACACATGTGTCTAGAGTCTGTGTAGGGTGCGTGAGAGGTAGTGTGAGGGAGTAGAGTGTGTGAGAGTAGTGTGTGTGAGAGTAGTGGGTGTGTGGGTAGTGTATGCGAGCTAAGTGTGTGTGAGCGTAGTGTGTGTGGGAGTAGTGTATGCGATTTGAGTGTGTGAGAGCGTAGTGTGTGTGGGAGTAGTGTATGCGAGCTAAGTGTGTGTGAGCATAGTGGGTGTGGCAGTAGTGTATGCGAGCTAAGTGTGTGTGAGAGTAATGT